AAATCACTAAATATTAAACCATGAGAATCTTTCTTTTATGAACTTTAAATTCCGTCATTTTCTTCTGTCACTTTCCTGAGATACTTTTACTAGGCAAATTTCTTATGATCCTTTTGAATGTGCAGGGGTTTTTTGCTTGTTTTTTCCCATTTTTTATTTTTATTGAATTTATTGGGGTGACATTGATTAATAAAATTATATAGGTTTCAAGTGTATACTTCTATAATATATCATCTGTATATTGTATTTGTATGTTTACCACCCGAAGTCACGTCTCCTTCCGTCACGCCATTTATCCCCCCTCTGCCTCTTCTACATCTCCCCTGCCCCATTTTCCCTCTGGTAATCACCATGCTGTTGTCTGTGTCTTTGAGTGTGTTTGTGTGTTTGTTTTTTGCTTTATCCCTTCACTTTTCCACCCAGCCCCCAATCCCTCTCCACTCTGCCAGCTGTCAGCCTATTCTCTGTATCTACGAATCTGTTTCTATTTTGTTAGTTAATTTTGTTCATTAAATTCCACATATAAGTAAAATAACATAGCATTTATCTTTCTCTGACTGGCCTGCAGTTTTCATACTGGTATGTTCATCCCAAGTTGGTCACCCCCTTGGGTGAGGTCTTCCCTAACCTTTCCCCTGACCTTTCTAACTAGTGTTATTCCCCAGTTATCTTCTATTGTCATTCTCTTGATTTCCATGCTAATACTAATCACAATGGGTAATTAACTAGGTAATATGTTTGCTTACTCATTTATCCAACTAGATCTAAATTCCAGGTCATCTTGGATCTAAATTAACTCCATTAATGTATCCCCACTGCCTACAATAGTGTCTGGTTCATAGGGGTGTTCAAAAAGTATTTGTTGAATGAATGGGTGAAGGAGTTTATCCTCACAGTAACAAAGTTAATCCAAACTTCTTAGCATGGCATTCAAGGCCCCAACTTACTTATCTGGGTTTATATTCTGCATTTTTTATATCTCTGTATTTATGGCTGTTGATATCTCTGGAAAAGCATGCATTCTTCTTGGAATTCTCTTCTTCCTACCGAATAACTAATCTTTCAAGGCCCTTTTCAAACACATGAAATCTTTCTCAATTCTTCTCCAGACAGAGAGACAAAGACACACACAGACACACACACACAGAATGCTTCTTCTACTAAGTACTTATAACAGCTATAACACTTATACTGTTATAAGAGAAATAAAAAATAATAATAGTAATAACTTTTTATGGAGCATTAAATCAATGCTGGGCACAGTTATAGGCACTCTATGTTACTATCTCATTTAATCCTGAAAACTACTCTAAGAGGTAGGTAGTGTCATAAGTCCTTAGGTATATGTCTAGCTAGCTGGAATTAAGGCTCCCAGAACCTCACAAAGTATCTACAATGCCATATGTGCATAATACACATTTGCTAAATAATGAATTCTGACAGGAGTTTCTGGTCCTGACTTTACTTTCAGAATGACAATCTTAATCAGTTGAAAAGCTGGACAGTAGTTTTAAGTACTCATATAAATTTAATTTTAATGTGATACAGTCCTTTCTAATGACAACAAAGGGTGATATACTTAGCTATATAAAATTTTAAAGTATTTGTAGATTTTGTGTTCATGATAAGTAGATTATTTTATTTTTTAATATTTTTTTAATTTTTCAATTACAGTTGACATACAATATTATATTGGTTTTAGGTGTATAACCCAGTGGTTGGACATTATACAACTTATGAAGTGATCACCCTGGTAAGTCTGATACCCCTCTGACACCATACATAGTTATTACAATATTATTGACCATATTCCCTATGTTGTATTTTACATCACTGTGAGTAATCTGTAACTAACAATTTTACTTCTTTTTTTAAAAGATTTTATTTATTTTTAGAGAGGGGGAAGGGGAGAGAGAAAGAGAGGAATAGAAACACCGTTGTGAGAGAGAAACACCAATAAGCTGTCCCTCACATGTGCCCCAACCAGGGATCAAACTGACAATGCAGACATGTGCCCTGACCAGGAATCAAACTGGTGATCTTTCACCTTGTGAATGCCCAACCAGCTGAGTCACACTAGTCAGGACTCAATTTTTGCTTTTTAATCCTTCACCTTCTTCACCTATCCCCCCAATGCCCCTCCCATCTGGCAACCATCAAAATTGTCTCTGCATCTATAAGTCTGTTTCTGTTTTGTTTGTTCATTTATATTGTTCTTTAGATTCCACATATAAGTGAAACCATATGATATTTGTCTTTCTCTGACTGACTTATTTCACTGATCATAATACCCTCTAGGTCCATCCATGCTGTTGCAAATGGTAAGATTTCATTCTTTTTATGGCTGAGTAGTATTCAATTGTGTAAATGTGCCACAGCTTGTGTTATCCACTTGTCCATTTATGGTCACTTGGGTTGTTCCCATATCAGAGCTATTTTAAGTAATGGTGCAATAAACATAGGGGTGCATATATTCTTTTCATTTAGTGTTTTGATTTTCTTCAGATAAATCCCCAGAAGTGGAATTGCTCAGTCATAAGGCAGATTATTTTTAATTTTTTAAGGAACCTCTATACTGTTTCCCATAGTGGCTGCATCAGTCTGCATTTCTAGCACAAGAGGGCTCCCTTTTCTCCACATCCTCACCAATACTTGTCATTTGTGGATTTATTGATGATAGCCATTCTGACAGGTGTGAAGCAATACCCCATTGTGATTTTCATTTGCATTTCTCTGATAATTAGTGATGTTGAGCATCTTTTCATGTCTATTGACCATCTGCATGTCCTCTTTGGAAAAGTGTCTATTCAGGTCCTCTGCCTATTTTTTAATCGAGTTGTTTTTGGTGTTGAATAGTATGAGTTATTTTTTTTCTAATATAACTTTTAATTATTTCTAGGGAAAACTGAGAGATTATTTTTATTTTATGTTTTTTTATCAATAAAATATTGCACTTTAATACTTTACAAAATAATGAAGATAACGCATTATGTGTATATTATCAAATGAACTTTTCATTATATCTTCATTTTTTCTTTTCTTTTAATTTATTTTTTCAAATACATTTGTCTCTGCCTACCCCCCACCACTTTCCCTTGCCCCATCCAACATTTTGGATATTAACCCCTTAACAGATATATTATTGATTAATATGTTCTTCTACTAGGTTATCTCTTCATTTCTTTATGTTCTCATTTGCTGTGCAAAAACTTTTTAGTTTGATACAGTCCCAGTTGTTTATTTTTTGTTTTCCTTGCCTGAGTATTTTAAGATTAAAAACCAAAGTTATCCCTGGCTAATGTGGCTCAGTGGATTGAGCACTGGCCTATGAACCGAAGGGTCATTGGTTCAATTCCTGGCCAGGGCACATGCCTGGTTTGTGGGCCATATCCCCAGTTGGGGGCATGCAAGAGGCAACCTCTTATACATTGATGTTTCTCTCCCTCTCTTTATCCCTCCCTTCACCTCTTGAAAATAAATAAATAAAATCATTTTTTAAAAAAGCAAGCCAGAAATGGAGAAAGATCTGTTTAACCTACATTAGACAAAATATTAATAATATCGTATGAACAGATTTCCAAAAGGGAAATTTAAATGGCTAGTAAACATGAAAATACACTCAACCTCATTAATTTAAAAAGACAAAATTTAAATCAGTAATGGGAATTTATTTATTTCTTTAACTTATTATAATGTAAAGATGAAAAAAGAATTACAATATTCAGCACCAGTAACGCTGTGGGGAAATAAGCAGTCTTACTCATGGTACAGAAACACTTTCATATACATAAAAGATATTTGTGTACACACACACAAGGTTGTTCGCTGCAGCACTGTTTGTAATAGCAAAAGATTGGAAACAACTTAAATGTGTGTTAATAGAAGCTTGGTTAAATGAACTATGGTACAGTTATACTATGAAATTGTATGCAGCCACTGAAATGATGTTACTGGATAGTCAAATAATAGATGAGGGGAATTCTCATTTTATAAGTGTATTCCAGATACTTAAAAAAAACACACCTTATTATTAAAAAAATAGACATGAGTTGAACAGACACTTAATCAAACAGGATATAAGGTTGGAAAATAAGCATATAAAATGATGGCAAATATCATAAAGCCATCATTTAAATTAAAACCATTATGAGATAACACTACATATCTTATTATACATAGCTAGTTTGGATGCAAAATGGTACAGCCATTCTAGAAAACGGTTTGGCAGTTTCTTTATAAAGTTTAACATATATTTACCACATGACCCAGCAACCCCATTCCATGGTATACTACTCAGCCAGAAAAAGGAATGAACAGATTGGATGAATTTCCAAGGAATTTAGCTGAGTAAATGAAGTCAGTCTCAAAAGGTAACATACTATGCAGTTCCATTTTTTTAAAGATTTTATTTATTTATTTTTAGAGAGAGGAGGGGAAGGAGAGAGGGAAACATCAATGTGTGGTTGCCTCTTGAGCGCCCCCTACTGGGGACCTGGCTGGCAACCCAGGCACATGCCCTGACTGGGAATCGAACCAGGGACCCTTTGGTTCACAGGCTGGCGCTCAATACACTGAGCCACACCAGCCAGGACTATGCAGCTCCATTTTTTATATGACATTCTTAAAAATGAAAAACTATAGGGGCAGAGAATAGATCAGTGGGTTAGAGGTAGGAAAGTCTGACTGCAAAGGGAGTGTTAAACTGTTCTGTATTCTGGTGGTGGTTGTGGATACCACAATCTATGCATTGGTTAAAATTCAAAGGACTATGTACCAGAAAATAAATTTTACTATATGTACATTAAAAATAATCATTAAATCCCTGGCTGGTGTGGCTCAGTGGACTGAGCATCAGACTGCAAAGCAAAGGGTGACCGGTTCGATTCCCAGCCCCCACATGCCTGGGTTGCAGGCCAGGTACCTGGTAGGGGGAGCACGATAGGCAACCACACATTGATGCTTTTCTCCCTCTCTTTCTCCCTCTCTTCCTCTCTCTCTAAAAATAATAAACAAAATATTTTTTAAATAATCTTTAAAAAGATAAATTGTTACCAGCAATAATTATACCTTCTATTTCTCCGTCTAATGGAGGAACATCATCTCTCATGGAGAAATCCATAGCTGACCCTGGTATGTCCATCAAGTCTTCATCACTGGAGCTGCTCTGGAAGCTATTGAAATTCCCCTGCTGAAAGCCTCTATTATCCATGGTTCCTGTGCAGAAAGAAAAACAGGAGGCTTATTACAATGACCTCCAAGCCCCTTACTATTTATTATTTTAAAAATTGTGGTAAATACACATAACATAAAATTTACCATTTGACCCATTTTTAAACTAGACAATTCAGCACATTAAGTACATTTATATGTTGTGCAATCATCACTAGCCATTTCCAGAAATTTTTCATCATCCCAAACAGAAACTGTGTACCCAATAAATATAATTCCCCATCCTCCCCCCCAGCCCTGTATAACCTCTATTCTCTTTCTGTCTCTATGATTGGATGATTCTGGATATGTCACACATATGCAATCATAAAATATGTGGCCTTTGGTCTCTGGCTTCTTATACTTCTCATAGTATTTTCAAGGCTTATTCATGTTATAGCATGTATCAGTACCTCATTCCTTTTTAGGACTGAATAATACCCATGGTATGACTATACCATGTTTTGTTTAGCCATTCATCAGTTGATGGACATGTGGGCAGTTTTCACCTTTTGGGTTACCATTTATCCTTAGGTCTTTTTACATACTTTTATTTTAACAATATAGAAATGTAAATGACTTCGTATATCCAATTACCCTCTAGATGTAGTGTACATCTATCTTTACCATGTAGCTGATACCAGTTTTTTGAGAATAATGCAAACAAACCAACCAAGTGAGGACATGTGCACAAAACTCATAGTAGTTCACAGGTAATCAATTGAAGTAAAAACTACACATCAGTATTGCGAAATGTGCTAGCCATTTGGGAATGAAGAAACATTATCTATGCTTCTGAGTCCCTCAAACAGCATAGATACACAGAAATACTGGGGGAAAGAGGCATAATGTGCCATTAAATGTTGTTTTCTACTCAAAAAATTAATATTAAAGATAAAACATTTTTACACCCCAAGTGTAAATCTTCAAATATGTTTTACTAAAAAAACTCACTATATTGATTTTTAAAAACCACCATTACAGCCAACTTTATGTTATCTACCCTTCCCCTCTCCAATTTTTTAAAAGGAAATGTTGATTGAAAATCATAGCAAACTTCTATTGGATTAGGCAAATAATATCCCATTTGAGGTGTTCCAACACTTTTAAGAAAGTTATTAGTCTACATTATCAGAATGATGTCAGGTACTTATCAATTTTTAGGCTATGTGCTTAAAGTGAGCTCTTTTACTTAATTTTTCCAAAGATCTTATGCTATGGCATTATCACTCCTAGTGAAGGTAAGGAAACTGAAGTTCAAAGAGGGTAAGTAACTTGTCCAGTTAGTGTTTTTAAAAAGTTAAACTCTAAATCATGTGTTCAATTTCACAACACCTTACTTGCAGTAAAGAGACCAGCCTGACTGAAGTGTGAGTGACACTTACAAATGACCTACTATGTACAAATCATTGTGGGATAATGAGACAGATACAAAAATGATGCCAGGAAGGCCTGATGGGATGAAGATTGGGATACAAAGATTTGGTGGTTGTCCATATCAAGGTGATGGTTGAAACCTAGAGAACAGATATTCCAAGGAAAACCAGTCATTTACTTATGGATAAGGATGAATATAAATAAAAGAAGTGCATTCGCAATATCCTTCCTTCAAATACACAAATAACTTGAACTCTCTGTAGATGTTAAGGAAACAACAGGTTCCCCAGGATGCAGATGTGGTAACATATGGTCAGGTAGAAAATGTAGGGTCATTTACCCAAATGTACTAATAATGTATAAAATTACTGATTATAAAACCATTCCCTCCACTACAAAAACTCTAATAATGCTATGTGGATCAAATGAGTCCTAGGACACTAAGAATCTGTGCTTTGTGATCTTAGTGGAGCTCTTTCACTGCTTCCAATCCTTCATCCTTGGACTCTTCCCCATGCTCTATCCTGCTTCCTTCACTCCCCTTCTCTAAGCCCTCCTACAATAATGAACTTAAATAAATTCCCTGTCTCAGCTGCACTTCTAGAGATCCTGAGCTACCAGAGGATCCTTAGTCATTTTTTCTTATTACTAACATGTAAAATATCCTGAATCTCTCTGTCTCCCCTCCTTGTCATCCAGAAAGACAAGTCTTTACTCTAGTTTTTTTAAAAAGCCCCTTTACTTTGCTCTGGATCTGACTGAGATAACAGCCTTTTCCTGCCTTATTCTGATTTACAGACGCCCATTCCTCATCCACAGGGAATATGTTCCAAGACCTCCAGTGTATTCCTGAAACCTCTGATAGCACTAAATCCTACATATATGGTTTTTTTCTTATATATACATACTTATAATAAAGTTTAACTTATAAATTAAGCACAGTAAGATATAAACAACAATAACTGATAATAAAGTAGACCAATTATAACAATATCCTGTAATAAAAGTTATGTGAATGTTCTCTCTCTCTCTCTCTCTCAGTGTCATCTGGCAACTGAGATGCCTATTAAGTGACTAATAGGTAGGTAGTGGATACAGCATGGATACACTGAACAAAGGGAGGATTCACACTCAGGATGGGATGGAACAGGGCAATGCAATATTTCATTATGGTACTCTAAATGAATTTTCCATTTAATATTTCTGAACCATAGTTGACCATGGGTAACTAAATGCAGAAAGTGAAACTGGATAAAGGTGAACTACTGTACTTAATCTTATCCTTTAAGGAAACCTACTATCCCTAGCTCTCATCTCTACCTTAAACTCTAGTCCTGAATTCCCAAGAACTCCACCTGACACTTAAGTTGCCACTTCAAACTTAATAGGATAAAAATGAAGAAAAAAACCCAGAAGTAACATTAACTTGAGCACAAAAAAACAAAATCAAAACAAGGCATGTTCCCGGCCCTCACCTTCCACATCAACTCTCCTTTTAAAATCCAGGTGGTATTAGAGTCAATATTTGTAGTTAACATTTGTGTAACTCTGGGATTTACTATATTCAATGAACCTACAAAAAATACTTAATGTCAAGAATAGGTATTCATGTTTCTAGAAATCTTACCTAAAAATAAGCACTATTTTAGCTGATCAGAATAACTGAGTCTAAGAGAGTAGGACACCTCAAGAGGTTTTCTTTTTGTTTAAATTTATTAAATGCCCATGAATTTCCATATAGCGACTAGCACTGAAAGAAAGCAAGACAATTTGCAAGATGATGCACAATTCTTTCACTTTCTCTCTACTGTTTACATGTCTCATTTGGGAAATTATTTAAAATATACAACTCTAACAACTCTACATTATCCACACAAATCATAGAAAATGTATGGGGAGTCCAAAAATAATTTATATTTTGCTGTGGGATATGTCTTGTAGTCATGTTTTCAGATGGGTATAACTTGTTCTGGGGATTCTATTTTTTTAAGATTTTTAAAATTTATTTTTAGAGAGGGGAAGGGAGGGAGAAAGAGAGGGAGAGAAACATCAATGTGTGGTTGCCTCTCACACACCCCACATTGGGGGCCTGGCACACAACCCAGGCATGTGCCCTGACTGGGAATCAAACCAGTGACCCTTCAGTTCTCAGGCCGGCACTCCATCCACTGAGCCACACCAGCCAGGGCTGGGAATTCATTAAAACAAAATACTGACGGTTCAGGATGGAGATTCAACAAAGGGAAAGCTGGAAAGCTTACCGGTTTCCCCATAGGGACCTTTGAAACTCCTTCCTGTAAACCACTAACACAGAACAATTCAGCTAAATTGAGTTGCCTCATTCCAAACATTTCCTGGAGCAGCTGTCTGATTCACTGTTTGGGTTATAAACTGCTTCCTTAATAAGTATATAGAAATAAAGGGTCAACAAAAGAAAATTAGAAGAAGTAAATAAAGCAAAACAGATGCTATAAATGAGAGTTCAACAGAAGAAGTAAATACAATCAGTAAAACTCAAAGTGATAATTTGTCTGTGGGTAATCCATTCTGGTACAGACTTTGGTTTTATTTTTTAGATATCGAGAAGTTCAAGAGAAAAAGTTAAAGCAGCAGAAAAAATGAGAAAATCATTTAAAATTCTTTAAAACTGAGATTTGAACCTGCATCTATTTGAACTCTAAGCTCAGTGCTCTTTCCATAATACTTTGGGGCTTCACTATGACAGTGTTCTAGAGAATGGCACGTCTGGAAGAAATCAAACCTCTAGCTGGCCACAAGCATGAGGTCAGTCAGATTTTATGGAAGGCCAAGAACAAAGTAAGGGAATTTGATTAGATCCCATCTACCCAGATAGACATATCTTCTACTACAAATTTGTTATACTCCAATAGGCATGTACTTTTATGTCTCTATAACTTTGCTTAAGCCAGATACTCTCTATCTGGAATTTCATCCAACCCCCTATCTTCTTTTCGGATTGGTGAAATTCCATTCAGTCCATCTAGGGCCAATTCAAACAGGCTTTTCCCTCAATATCCCTTTGTTCAGACATCTACAAAGGGTGAGGAATAGAATTATCTTTTGCAGGGCAGGCCCCTTGTAGTATAGGTTTCTCTCGCTAGGTGAGTGTTCTAGGAGCCCACCTGTATCAACGGCTGGTGTTATTGTGAAAGGCTGCATTCAGCGTCAGTGAATTTTTTTTTGAAGAGTCTTTCAATACGTTTGCCCATTTCATGATGGGTGATTTACAAGCAAACCTGCCCACACCACACTTAGTGTTCAGAAGTTTTTGACCAAAAATGGGCATGACCCCTGTGCCCTACTCCCTGTTCACCTGATCTCACCCCAAGCAACGTTTTTTTTGTTTCCCCAGATGAAAAAAAGTCCTCAAAGAGAAATACTTTGCTGATGTGGAAGAGATGAAACAAAAAATGGCAGGAGCACTAAGAGGCATCAAAATCAATGACTTCAAAAACTGTTTTGAGCAGTGGAAAAAATGTCTCGATAGGTATAGTATATCAAATGGAGAGTACTTTGAAGGCAACTGAAGTTTAAACATGTAAGAATACACAATTTTTTATAAATAAATCCCAGGTTTTGGGGGTCTCCCCTCATATGTTGATTGCATA